CTCTCTCTGTCGGCAGCAACAAGAAGAAGAAAAGAAAACTCCAACTCCATGGTAGTATGTTAAGGAAGAAGAAGAAGGAGCAAGAAAACCATTCAAGTGTCCAAAATCCTGAGCATAAGACAATCAGTCCACTTGTGAGTCAATTCTGAAATTTTCCGTTCATTTTCTCAAAATGTTTATTATACCAAAGTTGTAGCCCCGGACGTTACGAATCCAACCAACAAACGGCTCGCGATTTCGTTAAGTAACAAAGAAAATATGGCCAAAATACCGGGACTGCACCAGTGGTGGCGAGCTCCTCGGGTTGGCATGTTTTTCTTCACCAAAATTCATATTATTTCATCCCAAATACTTACCATAAACTCTCTAACAATTATTAGGAACATCCGGAAGGTATTGCAAAGAAATTTCGGCGTTGGAATGTTGAAGTTAGTGAGTTAATCGTCGGAATCATGTTCATCGACATACCCGAAATTCTGGACAGCAACTTTCTATTGACTTCAGGTCCGATTTACGCTATCTTACATATGTTAAAACGAAATACTTTCTATACGAAAGTTGTAGCCTTACATCTTAGGAATCCACATAATCAAACGGTTTGCAATTTCGTGAAGAAACGATGGAGATATGCCCAAATTACCGCAGGTTGTCCAGTTGTGACGGAAATGACAAAGTTGGCAAATTTCGATGTTGTTTCCACTTCCGCTCATCCGTAAGGTTTCGGCCGATGATTTCCAGGTTTGTACCTTTGCGTTAGACTTGTCGAATCATTCATCACATACATACATGAACATATATGTTATTCCATATGTTAAAACCATTCCAAAATATATATGTGATACATATATAAGTTATCTATATGTTGAGATCAAAATACACCAAATCCATAAAGTTAATATACACATAAGTAAATATAAATATTGGAAATCAACCCAACAATATGTATATGTTAATCAAAGGTGCTTAAAAGACTTAAAGAAGTATTTTGGACACTCAAAATATCAAGAGAAAGATTCGCAGACCCAAACAGTCGACGCAAACGGTCGACCGTCGCGTTAAACATCGAAATGGACCCCGACTGCCAGACAAACGGTCGACCGCCGGTGGCCAACGGTCGACCGTCGCCTGCCTAGCCGAGAATCGCCGTCGCCATCCAGTCAACAACGGTCGACCGCCGGTCAATCACGGTCGACCATCACGATGATCCGCCAATCCGACCTGATGAAGATCAAGGTCGACCGTCGCGCCAAACGGTCGACCGTTCCGAGCCCCGTAGCTTAATTAAATGATATTTTTATCAGATTTCACCCAAATAAAATAAAGTATATTTATCCATCCATATTGTTTACAAATTGTTCATATCATATGACTCATATCATCACACATATTGTAGCATATCATATCATATGCATGCGTAAGAGATCATGCGTAATTGCGTCTCTTATAGCGTGATGTGCGGGACTTAGCAGTCCGACATCACCCGTTCCGGGCTTAGTGTACGTACATGGTATTCAGGCTTTCGAGTACCACCCCCAT